GGCATCAGGAAGTTTATGTTACAAAATTTGCATATTATTGCAGTTTCAGCCCATGTGCATGACAAACTTCCACACTTGCAGGTTGAAACTGCCTACAAACTTCCATCAAACTACCTCCAAACTGCCACAAAAAGAAAGGAAGTTTGAAGGAAGTTTTGAAAAACAGACGAGGTAGTTTCGAGGAAATTTCCTTGAAATTTCCTCGTTTGCAGCCACGAAAATTTGTCTAAGACAGCAGATTTTTGTCTATTAGACAACTTTTGTTTTGTCTATTAGATAACTTTTCGTCACATAAAGTTGTCTAAGACAAATCACAAAAATTTATCTAATAGACAAATTTTAAGAAAGTTGTCTATTAGACAATTTTTTGTCTAACCTGGTCTATTGGGCAGTTTCCTTCAAGTGCGATGGGTGCCGAGTGAAAGGAATGTGGCTGATCAGGCTTCCCGACAGTGGGAGCATTTGAGAAAGCATGCTTTTAGCCCAGGAGGCGCGGGGACAGAAAAGGAAGACGCCCCCTACACCTCAACCTGGAATCCTCCTTCCCGAGACAAAGTCCAACCAGACACAGAAAAGCCAAAGGCAGTCACCTCAAAGACGGCTGATCAAGACCCGGGACGATCGGAAGCAGAACCGCTCGCAGGCGAAACAAGAGAATCAGACCCCGCAGAGGTTTCAAGGACAGACATTTTTGGAGCAGATGGCAGTGTCAAGACTGGTGGCCGAAGACTATCGGCGACGAATGCAGGGCTTTCTCCAATTTGCCCGAGCCCAAAAAGTCTCACAGAAGACCCTGGCGAGGGATTACAAGAGATTGGACGAGGTTTGCAACTCTTACGTGAATCACATGTTCGATCAAGGATTAGAGCTCGCCGAGGGCACAAAGTTCCTCGCCGCAACATGCGACATGTTCCCAGGTTGTGGCCAGAAGCACACTCTTGCGCGCACCCGGCGATCACTGCAGGGATGGCTGAAGCTGGAACCCCAGAGGACTCGACCACCTCTGCCGTGGCCGTTGTTGGCGGCTCTGGTCATGCAGATGTTGAAGCAACACAGAACACACTCAGCAGCAGCAGTTCTCCTCAGCTTCACCGCCTACCTTCGCCCGGGCGAGGTTCTGCGCCTGAGAAAAGCAGACTTGGTCAACCCCATGCCTCGACAGAAGCATTGGTCCCTTTTGTTGCATCCAGCAGAGCGGCAAGAACGGTCCAAGGTGGGCCTAGCGGACGAAAGCATCCTGCTGGACTCTCCTCTCCTGCCATGGATCGGTCCAGCCCTCAGAAGTCTCAATTCTCCGGGAGCCTTCCTCCTCGACATCACCTACTACGATTTGGTTCAGTCCTGGCAGGCAGCACTCAAGGCGATAGGACTTCCGAAGAGTCACGCAGTGCTCTACCAACTCCGTCACTCAGGACCTTCGCACGACAGGTTCTACAAGCTACGCCCGCTAAGCGAGGTGAAGCAGAGAGGGCGTTGGCAAGCAGACAGCTCAGTGCGGAGATACGAGGCGCATGCGCGCCTGAACCAGGAGTTCAACGACCTCCCGGCAGCCGCGCAGAGAAAGTCGCAGCTGGCAGAGCAGATGCTTCCAAAGGAGGCCCCAAGATTTTTCGGCCTTCACAACAGCTTGGGGTTCAGAAATTTGCGCTAGAAATTTTCAGTGGTTGCGCGCGTTTGTCACAAGCTTGTTCAGCCGTGGGTTTCATCTCCATAGCCTATGATATTGCCTACGGCACAGCTTGCGACGTTTTACAACCAGCTGTTTTACACCGAATCCTTCGTTTCTTGCACAAACATCAGGGCTCTATAGCTATGGTATGGTTGGGAACCCCTTGCACAACCTGGAGCAGAGCTAGAAAGCATGATGGGGGTCCCCCCCTCTGAGAGATGATGAGCAGAATTTATTTGGCTTTGATGACTTGAGTTTTTCAGACAAACGCAAAATACAAGATGGCAACAGCCTTCTCAGTGTGTCTGAACAAATCATCTCCACATGCATTGCTTTGAACTTGTGTTGGGCGATTGAGAACCCCTGGTCTAGCCGAATCTGGCTAACACCATACCTGAAACAACTTGCCGATCGATTCACTCTCATGCGAATTGACTTTTGTGCTTATCACATGCCCTGGCGCAAAGCAACTGGAATCCTCTTTGGGGGACCCTTCTCTCTCCTTCACTTAGCGCGCGAGTGTGTGCCACAGCATGGGCGTTGTTCATTTTCAAATCGCAAACACATTGTTTTGGTAGGCAAGGACAGTGCAGGACAGTGGTTGACACGCAGAGCGCAACCCTATCCCTTTCATCTGTGCCATGCAATTGCGAATACTTTGACAGAGCACAGGTGACTGTGGGTTGGGGAGTGCCTGACTGTTCACGTGGCCACAATGAAACCCATTGATGACTCC